CCAGTTTAGCTTCAGGGATACCACTGCAAACAGTGCCAAAGGCAAAGGAAACCATCTCCACTCCTCTCCACCACAGGGCCAACCATTTCATCTTAGAACAGGAATAGTTGGGCACAATTTGCCCTTGGTAAATCCATGCTGGATTTTCCCCACCATCTCTTCCATGTATCCATAATGAGGCTTCCAGGGGGATTTGCTCCATAACCTTCCCTGTAAAGGTTCCAGGTCCAGCTGAGCTTTGTCTCTCCCAGTTCCATCCTGCACATCCAGGCAATATCCCTCATTTTTCTGCCTTTAGTTTCAAATTCTGTGTACTTTGTTTTTGTGTTTGAGCTCAGTTAGGAGCTCCTTCTTTATCCCTGCTGGTCTCCTGGACACACATGCTCCAATTCCTGCACTTTGGAGCAGATCATTCCTGTGCTTTGAGAAGACTGTTCTTCAGGAGCAAATGGTTTCCCTCTTGTCCATTCACATGGGAACTACCAAAAACTTCCCTGAACAAGCCAAAACCTCCCATCTGGAAGTTCCAGGCTGTAATTCTCAGTGCCACCTCCACTCTCCAGCCAGGCACGGACAACCTGCAACAAGGAATTCCAGCCTGCTCCCAAAACTGGACCCCCTGCTGCCACCCCAACACACCCCATGGTGAAAACCCCACACATGAACCAGGATCTGCAACCTGCAGTTGTGTTGAAGAAGCTTCACCCACTCCTTGCCTCAATGGTCTCCAGCAGACACACACGACCACGTTCTCCTTCCACTCCCTGATCCCTGTGCAAAAGCTCCAGGCTGGCTCATGGCTCTCCAAGTTGAAGGTACACTGGAGTCAACCTTTGAGGGTGATCCTCTTCCTTGTTTCCCTGCCCCCTCCTTCCTGAAGAACCTTCATCCATCCTCTGGAGCTCTCCTGAGATTCTCTGTGATCCCAAAGGCCTCACAGCATTGTAACTACTTAAAAACTCCTAATTCCTTGTCCTAGCTTCCCATGCTGGAATGGTAAATCACATACAGGATACCCTTGCCTGGATAAAAGGCTTTGTTCGTGAAAAAGTTAAGTTTAAAGAAATGGATAGTTCCACCACAAGCAATCCTGACATGGTGTTCTACAGGACACCAGCAGAGTATTCGATTCACTCCTTTGGATTTCACTCCTGTACAAACTCTGAAAAAATCACAATATACTGAAAAAAAAACAACTTCTGTAGTATAAAAGCACAGAAATCCCACAACACCCCACACTTGAGAGCTCTGGAGGTGACACAGTGCATCCCAAATGATGTTTTGAAATTGTTCTCCACATAACTGGCATATTTGTTTACAGTCTATGATTTTCTTTACACAGCATTCAAGCAGCACTCCTTTTTTTTTTTTTTTTTTCTGAGTGCCTGAGTACTTGTCAAATGCCTTTCATGGGGGTGACAGGGAACCATCTGCCTCTCTCCCCATCCCTACTGCCACCTGTTCTTTTGCAGTCCCCAAAGGCAGCGCTGAGCAGTCCCAGATTCCCTGGATGGGGCCGGGTTATGGGGCCTGGCTCAACCTCCCCTCGTGTCACCAGCACTTCACCTCCAGGGGGAAACCCCCAACACCTCCATCACAGGGGTTTTCACAGACCACAACAATCATGCTGGAGAAACATGACAGGAAACGGCTTTGCTATAATGAATGAGCATTGGTGTATCTGGTCCATAACTGGGCTGCCCAACGAGGACTGGAAGCAAAATTAAAAAGGTGGTTTTGTGTAAAAAAGGGCAAGGAGAGATTTGATGGTGCTGGGAAAGTTGTTCCTTCTCACTGGGATATGCTGAGTTCTCCGTGGGGGTATCTGCAGGACATCAGACCACCCACCTCTCACTCCACAAGGCAAAGAGAGGAGCAGAGACTGACAAAGTGCAGAGGAACTTCCCTTCCTTGAGGGGAAACACCCAAACACCCCCTAAAAGGCAGAGCCACAACTCCAGTGAGATTCCCAAAGGAACTGAGTGTCCAGGGGGAGGTCAGAATCTGAGAAATAGGGACACAACCTCAAATCCCAAAATATTTGGAAAGCTTTTCATCTCCCTTGCAGAATTGTACACCTGAAATTCAGTACAGGGGACAAAGAGGATTTAACTCCGACCACTGACCTGAATCCTCCTCCCTCTCCTCCCCTCCCAACCTTCTCAATTACAAAGACTTGTGCTAAAAGTCTCCTCCTCTCAATGCCACAATTCTTTTATGTATTCCTGAAAAAGCAAGAGTTGTGGGCTCTGCACAGCCCATTTCCAAGCACAGGGTAAATTTATTAACAGAATTACCAAAGTTGAAAAGAAAAGCCCTTCCAACAAGCCTTTCAATTCAACTCTTTGTTTTGTATTTTCCCCACATAACTTCTGTATGTACTAAATGCTTTTCAAAACTCACTGCAAACCCAAAAAAGCCCAACCTAAGAGCAAGTTATTCTGAACAAGGATTATATTAAGTTTGTTGTATCAGGTGAGAGTCACACGCAGCCTGGGCTGTGTGGCTGTGCCCAACACACACACACACCAGGTAAATCACCAAACTCCTGCTTCCTGAATGCCAGAAATCTACCCCAACACAGGAAACCTTTCTTGTAGTGGGTAAGTGCTTTTCCAAACTCCCTCAGGCTTCTACTTTCTCATTTACATTTAACTCATTAGAGATCAATTTGATAAGCGAAAGGGCTAATGAGAAATAGTTTGTCAATAGCCAGACTTTTGCCAGCTCCAGCTGGGAAGGAGCAAACAGAGCAGCAAGGGAAGGGATGCACTGCTAAATGGGAAGAACTTCTTTCACATTTAGTCAACAGTTTTTCACTGAAATTACTTTTCAAAGTGGCAAAGTTTGTATTTCTCATTCCCGAGGTATGAAATAAATTAAAAAAAAAAAAAAGTTTTCTGAATTAATGATTGAAATGTTCAGAATAGTTTTTGCTCAAATCAGTGTTTTGCATTTTCACACCAAGGCTGCTGTCATGAAAGAACTATTGCAAGTGATGCCTCCTCCCTCGTTCCCTGAACACCGTCTCCTTCCTCGCTGTTCGTACACTGTGAGAAGGCACTAAAATATCTGCACTTTCCCAGACTGGAAATGCCAGTTTTCGCGTATCACAGCTGAGACACAGCACATTCATTCCTCATGGCACTCCTTTTTACGCCACCACTCCACAGCAAAACTCCAAGTACTTCCACAGCTGTTCCGTGTGGTTTTCCCAGTGCTGGAGAACAACACCCAGATCCCCTCAGTGTCCCAGGGGAGCATTTCTAACTGCAGGGCAGGGGCAGAGCCACACAACTTCAGAGGTGTCTTTACACCCAAAGTGAGACTCCACCACTGATCCACATCCTTTGGCAGCATGCAAAAGAGAAAGGACAGCATTATAAGGCAAAGCCCTTCAGGATGGCAGGACGAGCTGCCAGAGCAGGACAGGAAGGAGAAACCACCGGGCAAAGGGCAGCAGAGGGAAAGGAAGAGGGGAGAGACCACAGGAACTCCAGGAATAACAGTTATAGTCATTTATAAACCACTGCTGGGAACTGGGTGCAAGAACAAGCTTGGGCAGGGCTTCAAAACCCAAGGACATTAATTATTCAGTATTTTTCAAACGTGGAAAATATGGAACAACGCTTCCGCTTGACAGACCTGAAAACCACTCAGGTGATTAATGCAGAGCAGAAATTAAATTACTTTTAATAATTTTTCTGGCAACCCGATGATGGTGGAGCAGTGCTGGGCCCAGGTGCCTAACCCTGCTCAGAGGTTGGAATCCCAAAGCTCCACGGCATTAAAGCTACTGAACCCAGGAGAGGGCACCTGGCATTCCCCAAATAACTGTGGGAGGTACCTGCAGCTCTTCAGCCAGCCATGAAACATACCCAGACCCAAACAGGAGTTCAGAAGAAGCTGTAAGAGCACAACTATTCTACAGAACAATTAGAAAATACCTGGGAAATCTCTCCTTATGGCACATTTCTGATAGTTTACTCTCTGCACAAACCCAGGGATAGCAGATTCACACCTGTTCAAATTCCAAGTGTGAAGTTCCCTCAAGCCTCCAACCACACCTAAGGCTGTTTCTCCTAAATCCTCTCCATCCAAATAAGAAATAAATAATAATTTTAAAACAATCCCCCCCAAAAAGGGGGCGGCAACATAAAAGCCCCCCCTGAAGTGTGGTTTTAATATTGTCTTGTCTGACTTGTCTTTCCTCTCATCCCTCTTGCTCTTGGTTTTCTTCCTTGGGCTCTTAGAAATTATTTTTAAGAACTGTGTGACCTGAAAGAGCAAAACAAGCTGATGCCTTAGTAATGATATTTTATCTTTTTTTTTTTTTTTTTTTTTTTTTTTTTTTTTTTTTTTTTTTTTTTTTTTTTTTTTTTTTTTTTTTTTTTTTTTTTTTTTTTTTTTTTTTTTTTTTGTCTTTAATCCTAATTACTTTCCTTCACCATCCCAACCATGCAGGGCACTGCAAGGTGAGCGATGGCAGTAACTCCACTGACTGGATAATAAGTAATAAATATTTATCTTAAACTGCAGCTGTAACTCAACAGATGTGCAGCTGTAGTTTGCAGAAATGACAAAGTTGACTATTTTTTACACTAAAAGCAGAAAAAAAGCTTCTAACACTGGAATGACTTTGATGTAAAACACTTGATTTGGGGTGGGCTCCATAAGTGCTGCTTTTTCAGGTTTCTGATTTCAGGGGTTGTTTTCATTTTGCCTATTCCATTATCATTTTGAAATCTCAGCCTGCAGCCATATTTTAAGGGTTTATTATTGCACCAAATATTTTCCAAAATACAGGGTGAATCCTAGAGAACTCCTTAATTCCCCCTCAGTAACTTTAAGTTTACACAAGATGATGCTGAATCAGCTCATGGGATTTTAGACAATCATCCTGCTCTAGCTGAGTTACAAATATAATCCATCACATGGAAAACGTCCCTTGGAATGTCCCTCCCCACCTTTTGGCTCTCTGCTGTCCCAGTTGATCTTACCAAGGTCCAGGATTATCAGCTGGGCTCCAGCCTGGGCATTCCCAACATCATTTTCTGCTATGCACTGATAGAATCCTTCATCAGACTTCACCAGGCCCAAAACTTGCAGGTTATGTTCTTTCTGAGGAGCAAAGGGGAAAAAAACAGCGCTTAAAAAAAGGGCTGCAATTGTCAAAACAATGGTGTCATCCGGGCACTTTTATAGTGGTGGGAGGAACTTCCAACAGGAATGGGGTGTTTGGATTTCACCTCCTTTGCCCTGAATCCTCAGGTCAGATGGTATCCAAAGCAGCAGCAGCTCTCACTAGAGGCATCATTTTCAAGCATCACATTTCCCAGCCATTTTTGGTGGTATTTTAAGCCCTGACTGAAGTGCAGAGCTCCCTGTTACATCCCCACAACCTCAGGTACACCCAATTATACAGCCATTAAGTTCTCAACTAGGCCTCAATAATGACTTGCACTGCATCTAAAATTTCCCTCTGGAAGTACCCGTGTGCCAAGACTCAAGATCCACAGCTCAGTGATATTGGTATTTCACCTCCTGCTTGAAACTGTAATTTTTATGGAGCACAGACAATGCAGAACCCACAGTCAGTGCTCATGGTGAGCCTGTATTTTGACAGTACCTTTTGGCACTCAGTGTCTGTCTCCTGCGGAAAATCCAAGCCATAAAGACATCAACTCATACAACACAAGCAACGTGCATTAAATGTTTCAACAAACCATTTCTCTTCCAGGCCCTGAACATCAAAAGAGCAAAGGCAGGAAGCAGTTCCTATAAAAGAACCCAATTTCCATGAATAGACGTAGGAGAACTAACAGATCGAGAGCTTAAAAACCTGCAAAATGGACAATTTACTTACCACAATTTTGAAATAGTCACTGGGGATCACCACGTCTCCGTTCTTGACCCACTTCACGGTGGGGGTGGGTTTCCCGGTCACCTCACACTCGAACACAATGTCCATGGACTCGTGGGCGTAGATGTTGGCAGGTCGCTTCAGGAACTCGGGGGGAACTGCAAGGGAAGGGCAAGATGGACAAAGGATGGTGTCAGCACCCAGAAGAACACATCTTTCACAAGGTCTGGCACACAGGGGTGGCTGGGGGGACTCCAGCAGCAGCAAAGGTTTGTGGTTCAGAGTTTGACAGACACTGATACAAACTCTGAGTTCTTTCACAGTTGCATTTTGGCCAGGCTGGCCAGGGCTTGGAGCAACCTGGTCTGGTGGAAGGTGTCCCTGCCCATGGCAGGGGGTTGGAATGAGATGAGCTTTGAGGCCTCTTCCGACCCAAACCACCCTGTGATCCAGCCAATGGTGTGAATTTGGAATGGCCTCTTTGAGAATACAAGAAAGAAGAAATCAAACCAAGATGCACCAAGTGTAAAGTTAAACCTCAGGGAATTCTCTGTTCTCAGTACTTCAGTCAAGAAGAAAACAAAAGCTGAAATTGCATTAAAAAGGACTTTTAAAAACGAATGAAACTTTCCTCAGGCACCACTGTCTTGGATTCCTGTGAAGAAATTCAGGTGCTGCACTGATCCAAAGCACTTCTCTGGTGTGTGCAAGCCAAGGAGACTCCATGTACAGATGCCTCCCTGTGCCTCTGGCCCACACTGACAGCCCCTCACAGACATCTGCAAGTGAAGCTGTGCATCTGGTCCCACAGCAGAACAGACGGGTTATTCACTAACAATCCGTACCAGAGGGGGTGTCTCTGGGTCTTGGCTGCCTTTAAACATGTCTTAAAGTCCTCGGAACAGGATTAATTAAATTCGAGACATTTAAAATCCGCGAAAACTCAGAGATGAAGAATTGTTTGGCAACACAAGCCCCAGATGACCAATGCAGAGACACGACAAAGACTGTCTGTGAACACACAAGAAGTGCCCCCAGGAACCCTCCAGCTGCATGTGAGACCTCTCCACTTCTTTCCTCAGCAGGCCCTTACTGTGTGAGCATCACCTGCGACAAAGAACACCCACTATTTGTTTGTTTTCACTACACTTCCCCACACAAGGGCATTTACTTCCTTGTGTTGGCAGCTCCGACCGCTGGAGTTCCAGGAAAGCCCAAAGCAGCCTTTTGCCCTTTAATGTTTAGCAAAGAAAGTCAATATGGAAGGGCCGTGGAGTTCAGACAAACAGTTTACACACTTGGCCCGTCAAGGGGATTTATTTTGTGCTGGGATACGGAATCCTTGTTTTACTTCTTCCTGTGAAATGATGGCAAAGGTCTGTAAGTGGATTTAATACTTCATAAACAAAGAGATGGAGATGAGCAGCTCCCCAAAAATCCCTCAGTTTTGGATTATAAATTAATTAGGAGAACATTAATATAGGGAAATATTTATTTACAGAGTAAGAAGGTGGTTTAACTCTCAGATAAGAGTGTAAATCTGCACAAAGCTGCCCAAACTCTCCCACAGGAGCAAAAATCTGGGGTTGAGCCCAACTGCCTGTGACTTCAGACATGCACTTCATATCAGCTTCCCCCAAATGTACCAAACACAACATCAATCCCACCTTAATTCAGCTATTTTTGTGCCGACTCTCCGACGGTTATCCCCGTAGACAACTCTGACACTGAAAACTCTCCACTGAGTTTATTTGCCACAAAACTGCTATTATTTATTCCCCATGAGAATTATTTTTTTATTCCTGCCTGGTATTTACCCTCAGCATTTTTATTTCCTGTGAGCTGCCCTCATTCTCCCTCCCTGCCTTCCCATATCCCAGGTCGTGTTTGCTTTGCTCCGGTGCGACAGTTCACCCGCAGCTCCTCCAGCCCCTCTGCATTCATCTCCCAGCCCAGGGAGCTTCAATCATTTACATGTAATTTCAGATGTGTCTCACCAGGGGCCTGAAAAATGGCATAAACAGGGTGTCAGCACCACAGCAAATCTCTGCCCCGCTCCATCGTGCTGCGTGTGCCCTTCCCAGATGCATCATCCGCTGCCAGCCCCGACAGATCATTGCTCGCTCATCGTTAGCCGCTTTTAACTAATGAGTCATTTTGTTCCAGCCTGCTTGATCAATAGTTGATGTTCTCATTTCCTTTCCATCTCTGTCTCCACATGTATTCAGACACACACACGCACACAGGTATCGATTCCTGCAATGCTGGCAGAGCTGAGAGAAGGGGATATAAATATTGGGAAAGTTCGTTTTTCCACGAATGTACAAACACTTCTATTTTCATAACATTCGTTACAGGTGGATTTTAATTCCTTGGCCACCTATTAAACTTGTCACAGGAACCCTGAGAGATACAAGCCAGTAACATTCACTGTCAAAACACGAAACTTGTGTAAAAAACTCATCACAGAATCCCAGAATGGTCTGAGTTGGGTGGGACCTTAAAGCCCATCCCATCCCACCCCATCCCACACCTCCCACTAGCCCAGGTTGCTCCAAGTCCCGTCCAACCTGGCCTTGGACACTTCAAGGGATGGGGCAGCCACAGCTTCTCTGGGCAACCTGTGCCAGGGCCTCACCACCCTCACAGGGAAGAACTGAAACCCAAAACTGAACCCAGTAAAGTTCTGTGATGATTTCTGTTTTCTCCACTAATGTTTAACTTGAAATGAAGACATTTGGAAAGTACTCAAATATCTTTGGCAACTGGTTTGGCTTCAGCCTGGGATATCATCCAGAAAGGGGCACTAATATTGAATCGTAAGATCCAGCATTTTTTTGCCACAAAAATGCAGGTTAATTCAATATCCTATTACCTGCTCTCAATTAGTTTAGATTTAGGAGATTAAGAATTTGAAACACATTATTTTTTCAAAGGAACTTTGCTTTTCTGGCTTACGGAGCAAATGCCAAGCTGCTTACAAAGGGATAATAACATGGAAGTGCTCGTTTTTATCAATTACCTCCCAGTTAATGAATTAATAAATGCTTTTCAAACACACTTTCATAGTTTAGCTGTGTCAGTGTTTAGCATTAACACAATGCCAGTACAGATGTTTGTGGTAGAGAAGTTAAATTGATAACCAGAGAGCAAACGAGCCAATTACCATATAAAATAAGGTTTGCAAGGGAAGATCATGTGTTCTGTTATTAAACAATTAAACTTCAAAGACGACTTGGCAGCTCAGCCCCCTCTCCATGTTAGCAAATAACTACTGGAATGGCAAGATGCTGGCACAGAACTTCACACGCCCCTAGAGAGCCCCTACCAGGAGTATCTGCCACCCTTTTGGAGAGCAGAGAGACAAAACATTTTGATCACAGCAGTGATCAACAGAAGAAAGGAAAGAAAAGAACCCAAAAACCAATCTATATCAGCAGTTGATTCAAACTTCTAAGCTACATCCCAATAAAGGTGAAATATTTGAAAAATGAAATGTTTTCTTAAGCCCACTGCTCTGAAACGAAGGGAAGGGCTGAGGAACTACACATGTGCAGCAGGAATTGTACCCAAAGTGCCATGGGAACAGGAGTGGATGCTGGACATGGATCCCATTCCATGTGTATAGGAGATCAGAAGGAAATGGAAATGGATTCCAGTGCTCAGCAGCTCCTGCCTGTTCTCTCTCACTGGGGGAGAAATGCTGTGCCCTTTGGGGGCAGGTGAATCTCCTTGCAGTTCAGCCTTCAGTGCTGCTGCAGACGAGACAGAAATTCAGGACATTCCTCCTCCCCATCTCCAGAGGAGGAGCTTCCTTCCCACTCCCACAACTCCTGAGGGAAGGACCCAGGTCTGTGGTTTCCCAGCTCCAAACCTGACACTTGTAACTACACTTGGAAGAGAAGAACTCAAGTTCTTCGTTGTTAACTACTCACAACTTTCACCTTCCTCAGCTACTACACAGTGAACCTCCTCCTTCAGTAACCGAGTCAGAACGCTGCTGCTCTAGATCAGAACTCATTTAAAGCACATTAACCTTTCCCAAAAGTCAAATCCCCTCCCCTGTCGTTCCCCAGAAGGAAAACCCCAAAGCAGCGCCTCCTCGTATCAGACTTGAGCCACAAATAACTCCCTGCAGAGGCAGAGGGGACCCCAAGCAGGCAGGGCTTGCTCAGACCATCACGATGGGGGAAACATCTACAACTCTGCAATTCTTTAAAAAACCTCCTCCCAGCCAGAACCAGGCATGACTGCCCAGTTCTGCTCCCAGCACAGGAGCTGCCCCAGTGTCTCAGTTCCTCACGGATTTAAACTCTGCTGTGCATGAGGAGCACAGGAATGGTCTCATCTGGACACTACAGAAACACAGGTGGCAAATATACTTTTAAAAAACTTATTTTCTTTCTATAAAGCATTAATAATAATTATTATTATTATTATTAATAATAATCTGTTGGCTCAAGCACAGCATCAGAGAAACACAAAATAAACACGAGCAACTGGTGGGTCCAAAGGCTTTAACAGTCACAGAATTACAGAACGGTTTGGACTGGGAGAGAAGTTAAAGGTGACCAAGTTCCACCCCCTGCCGTGGGCAGGGACACCTTCCACTGTCCCAGGTTGCTCCAAGCCCTGTCCAACCTGGCCTTGGACACTTCCAGGGATGGGGACACTTCCAGTACTATTCCTGTGCACTCTGAAGCAGCGTCAGAACTCCTGTAACAGCCTGAGGCAGCCAAAGCACCGAAAGGCAGCAACTGAATTTCCAAATAAAAATTGTCCAGGACAAGACTGAAGGAGCCATTTCTGATTCCTCAGCCACCTACAAATGCTCTCAATCCCAAAAAATTATGAGTGTGTTTTCCCAAGTCACACAATTAAATCATAGTTCCCGTCCCTTCTCCTCATCCCCTTCCCTCTACACTCCTGTCCATGACAAATATATCTTCTGCCATCAAATGCAAAAGCATTTTCTAATTCCAGAAGTTTTCACAGACCCCAAACAGCAAATAAACTGAGCAGAGTGGATAAATTTCCACAGTGTATCTCAAACAATCACAACTGAAGCGTTCCTGGTGGAATGACTTCCATGTATAACCACATTTCTGTGGATGCTGGGGGCAGAATCTCTATCTTGTATTTCAGTTAACAATTTGAA